CTGAGAAGAGATGGATTTTTTCTGAATTTTTTTATTCCAGAATTGGAGTCGAGTAGGAACGTAGTTCTCAGTGTATCGTATAACATTTGGCTAATGCTCTGGGGCTATTTCTGGTAACTTCAACAGGAGTTACAGGGCTGAGCTGGCTAGGTCTATTATATGTTCTAATGAAATAATTAGCAGTCTGATGCAGTCTCAAGGAATAACAGAGATTTGGATCCTTTCACCTCATTTGGGGCATATATATTAAAGAATGAACTCTCTGCTTAAGAGAGATTACACAGGGATTATGAAATGTAGAAATGGTAGTTGCAAAAAGCAGTATTATTCAGCAGCAGATTACTGTCATTTTACTGCGTGCTTATGAAAACTGGAGTTTCTAGCTAAACCCAGACTTCATTAGTGTGTAAATATTAGCCTATGTAGAAATACAGCATTTCAGTTTAAAAAAAGTGGAAAAGCATTTATCAACTCGTTTGAAATTTATATAATTTACACAGTGTCCTGAAGCTGTCTGCACTCTCTTCAGAAATACCAGATTTAGAGAGGCCCTTGCACTTGGCCAGCAATCCAATGAGTAAGACAAACCAATGAAGGTAGTGGATAACTGATGTATGGATGGTCCAAACGTGCTATTCCATCCATGACGGGAAAAGAAATGTGTTAAGGCAGAGGTGTATCATATATGACTTTTTTCAAATGAGCTCACAAAAGAACAAAACATGCCCATAGACTCATAAATGAATGATGACATATATTCCACTTGTGGCTTGGGAATTATGGATTTACCTGTTCTCTTGATGCTGTTTGGCAAAAAATCTGCTGCAGTCTATTGATTAGTTTATCCTGCATCAACTTGGGAGTAATTAATTGTAGTCTGCATAATTCAATTTGAATTATACAGATAGGTGTAAGAGATCCTGCCCCAAAACAGGCAACTGAAAAACACCACTAGAATCCTCTGATTTATTTTAAAATGTGAAGAATTTTAGGGCAAACAAAACTAAATCCAAGGAGTAGAACAAAACATGAAACAAGAAGATAAATCTTCAATGGAATATTCGTTCCTTTTTTGATCTTACAAAAGGAGACAACACAGGGTAGAGAATATTTAACCACGAAGACAGCAGAAAAAAATGCACTTCCACTAAAGCCATAAAGAAGCTGCAGTCACCTAGGCAGAACCAAAAAAGCATTGAAAATATTTTTCCTGATAAAAAGCATTCTAAGAAAAGGACTGGGAAATATGTTTCATAGTTCTGAGATAATTTATTTTGATATTGGGAGTGAAAATATCATTGTTTTTAGGAATCTTCTTTTTCTTCACTTGAGTATGTTTATGGTAAAACAAGTCAGAATTTAATATACTTTGAAGATAAATCACTTCTGGATGTTTTCAGTAAAGTAAATCACCTCTGGATGTTTTCAGAGCAAAAAAAAATTCCATCTTAATCTTCTTAAATTTCTCTCTATTTTTTACTGCATTTTCCTGAGGCTGCTTAATCTGCACATATTAGAGAGAAGGATAACAAAGCATTTTAAATAGGCAAGATCTGTGTGTGTCTCCTTAGAAGGGAGCTTCTTTTTCTGGGTGGCATTTTTTTTTAAATTCTGTTTTCTGACTAAGGAGTGTTCACCAGCAGGAAGGAGTTAAACAATACCCAAACAACTCAGGAGCTGTGTGTCAGTCAGGGCTAATGGGCTAATCTTGAGGCAAAAACAATAAGAGGCTTCAGAAAGAGGGAAGTCTTTCTGGCATTTATTTAACTTCTCTGTATTTACCAATGGAGAATGACTGGACCTTAATAAATTAATAAATGGTTAATTGTGTGGTAAAATCAAAACTTGTACAAAAGAAGGCAAATATGTTTCAGAAGGTCCAGCTTCTGCATCTTCAACATGAGATCTCAAGCTCTGTGGCTCCACAACAGGATAGGGTGGTAGTCTGTGAGTGGCATTTGACATATAACTAAATAGTCCTGAAAATAATTTTTAAAATGGCAGATAAGCGAGAGAAGGCACTATTTTTTAGATAACTCTACTACTATTGCTTAAGGTCCTTAGCCACATAGGAAAGGTAGTGGTTAAGAGTAGATGTAACAGGAATCTGTTCTCAAAATAGAAACTGGCTATAGAATGGCAAAATGAGTTGATAGTGGTGCTGAATTTCTACTCAATCATAAGCAAGGTTTTACATGTATTCTTTATGCTATGCAAGGCTGGATTTTCTTTTCTCATTTTTGCCTTGTCTTGTGGTATGAAATAGCTTCTCGTAACATAACTTGAGTGTCCTAAGTCTGCCACATTTATAATTTGCTGCCACACACTATGATTTTGAATAAGAAATTGGTAACTTAGCTTCAGTTTACATTATTGTCTTTGCCCAATTTACAGACTTACATATGATACCACAGACTCACAAGTCAGCCTTTACTGGAAGAGTAAAATGACTCAGTTTGGGCCTGGGAGCCAGAGAGCTAAATATAATACACAGCATTAGAGCCTGGTACAGCTGGGGGAAAAAAATCCATTTGGGGACTTATAAAAGGTCAGTTTGGAACAGAGGTGCCTGGGGTGGAGAAACACTTGTCCTGACAACTAACTTCATTCTGTTCCTATTTGAGAAGTGTCACAGCAGAGCTGCTGGGAACAGAAGAAAATATAGGAAAGTAAGACAGGGGGAGAAAAAAATGGACATAGAAAAGGTTTGAGCTGGTTATTCCAAAAATTAGTGCAGGATGTATGCCATTAAGTATCCATTTCTGTGGGAAAGTGGTGTTGTGGCACTGTAAATATCTTGTTGAATGTGTACAAACTCAGCAGGCTCTGTGCAAATTCTTTATTGAAACAACGATCAATGTACAAGCTACATCACATTTCATTTTGCCACTTCAGCATGAACTTTTCTCTTTGTGGTTTACGGCCGTGAGCTATAAAATCATAACAGTTATTTAAATCAAAATACAGCAACTGCTTCTCAAAAGAACACATTCATGTTTGTCTTACATTTCTTGTAAAATCAAAAAGGATTTCATAATAAATGAAATATAACTTACGAGACTTTAGTGCAAGCATTTCCTTTGCATCTAAGAAGCTTTCAGTTGTCCCACTAAATATGGCATACTTAAGAGGCCAACTCTTAAAATAGCATGCTGCCAAGATATCCCATGAGAACTTTGAAAATCTGACACTGTTAACACTTTCTAGAATTAGTTAATCTGACCAAACTGAAAGTCAGAAAGCCCTGGTTATATGTTACAGTACTTTTGTCAAAAGGTAACTGCAAATCAAGGAACTGACGTAGTATCTACATTAGAATAAAACAGGCACTGATTTAAAAAAAATCAACATCTGCCTGTATATGCCATTTTGCAAGTCTTATGATTATACAGTAATATTTAAGCACAGGAGTGTACTTCTGTGCCTTACCAAGTACCAACAAACCTGCAGAAAATGCTGGTCTATGGGTTCTTTTAAATTTTTTTATATGACAGACAAAAAAACCCCTGAAGGATAGGTTTCATCACAAACATGCTTGAATCAGCGAACAAAAAAAGAATCAGTAGGAAAAAAATGCTGCTCAAAAAGAAAATGTTGAGAAAATAGATAGTGAATACTATGTTTAAGTGGACTGATTAGTATAGTCTTATATTTACTGAAAAAAGAATAGTAAGTGTGAAATTCAAATCCAACTGATTTCTTCTGCTGCAGAAATCTAGTCATCTTTCATGAAGTTTGGCAAAATTGTTTGAAAATGGTGTAAATATAATTGTGCAAATCTCTTTTCCTTATTAAGCCTGGCTTAATGTTCCTTTGCTTTTAGAATGCAATTTCAGTTGGACTGGATTTTCCAGATTCTGAGTGTTTTAAGAACCATTAGTGTTTGGTGGTACAATAAATAGAAAATTGTAACAAAAAGTGTGCATAGTCCAATGATGGGAACAGATTAATGCCCCTGAAGTGCTTAAGGTGCATGAAAATATAAAAGAATGCAAACATTAATTTTTTTTTGGAATCATTATTAATTTTATGTTTGCTAATTGTGTTTTTGGACCATAAAATAGCCATTTGCTAAGAAATACTGCAAGACACAATTGCATACTTTATAATAGCACAGCTGGAAAGTTTGGAACAGGAAACACAGGTTTGGGTCTTGCTTCCCATCTGTCCTCCACAAAGGAAGTTCCTGAAAGTGTATAAAAAGCTTTAGGCCCAGATGTGTCATATAATGGGTGCATAAGACACTGAGCAGCAGACACAAAACCACCAAAAAACCACATAAACCAGAACCATCGGTTCTGTATAAAATCTGTATTTTCTTCAGCTACAGTGCTTTTTAGTTCTTATTCTGATAATAACACAAAGCTAAATGTCCAGATTGGTTGGAGCAGTCCTACCTATGAACTGCCATCTCTGAGTGACTCCAGCTCTAGAAAATTTAGGGTTCCCTGTGACCTTGCAACAGCAGGAATCCAGCCCTCTGTGTATTGCATGGATCTAATCCAAGTACTGGTGCTTCTATGTGGTTTGCAATGTGCATTTGTGTGTACTTCAAACGTGCCCTTTGTGGGCAGCATCTAGGGAAAAACATCATTTGTATCTTCAAGGAAGTTTACACAGTGATACTGAAGAAATCCACGGGGATTGTTTGCTCTCAAATGTTTCTCAATAAATAAATAATAAAAGAGGCTGGAGGACAGCCTGAGAGGACTAGTCAGGGTCAGAACACTATAGAAATACATGAAGGGGTCTGATCTCTACTGTAAAAATTTCATAATCTAAAAAGATTAAAATTAAAATACTGTAATAAATATTTTTAAAACTTAAAAAAAGTGTAATTTAAAAGTTATTTTTATGCTTTCAAGGAGAATATCCTTGCTTATCTGTGCAATCTTAGTTGGGCACCAGATAGGTAATTGTAGAATCCATGGGCATTGTTTGTAAATGCTGGACAGGCAGAATCATCAAACAACACCTTAACATCCTGAGAAGAAACATCTTCTCAGGATGTTAAGGTGAATTGAAGGAGTTTAGTGCAAGTTCCTGCTTTTGTTTCTGCCCTTGTCCTTTTTCATATCAGAAGCAAATCAAGTAACTTGAAAAACTGATGTGAACACTAAACAGAAATGTCCTTTGGATTCAGACAAGAAGTTAAGAGTTTACATCATACTACTGTCAATCACACTGGTCAGAAGTGAGGTTCTTTATGGTATTCTTTTAAACTAACTTCTGTCTTACATTTATATTGCTTTGCTGGAACTCAAATATTTCAAGTCACATTCCTAATGGGGTCCTGCCCTTGCATGTTTCCTTTTGGGCATGTGCAAATACATTTTGTGTAGAAACCTGCCACTGTGGTAAGCACGAAAAAAAGAGACATTTGAATGCTGCCATTTCTCAAAAATCGGTTGTAAAATCTGAAGTCCATTATTAAACAAGTATTTTTTAAAATAACCACAGAAAGATAAATATGGAGCCATCTCTGCATCACCTATGTAAGTCATGGGGTATTCCTGTATTGCACTGCTGGTGAGGCTCTGCACTTTAACATAAGGAAGTTGTCACAAGACCTCAGTTCATTATCAAGGGTTCTTTTATGTACCTGCAACACTGACTTTGTCTGATCTTGATTACCTGTGCAGTTAATATAACTGATTGCCTCCAACGGACACCTTATGGAGATGAGGCTGCTTTGTTAAAATGTCCAGACAGCTATCCATGCATCATCTCCCCACAGACCTAAGAGACTTCTTTTTCTACAGTATACCTGATTCCAGATTTATTTTAAGTATATTTCTACTACAATCCTTCTTAAACACTATAAGGTGATAGTTTGTTCATTAGTGTCAAACTAAATGTGTCAGGTAATTAAGTAATATGCTATTAACCCTACACAAACTCCTTGTAAGCGATTTCTTTCCAGACTCACTTCAGAGAAGGTACTTTTTATTGTCTTTCTGCAAGAGAAATGATTACTTCCCTTCCACTCCTGGCATTGCCTGGCAGAGATGTTGATCCTTTTTAATGCCACAATTGCTATGATCATTAAAGCTTTACTGGGGTAGAGTCACTCAAGAAGTGAACATCCTACATGTAGGAGGTTCCCAAAATCTCAACGCATTTATATCACATTTAACAGTTTGCATGATGGTCTTTGTAATTTTATAGGACACTTGATTATTTTTTTTTCAGTTTGGATGAAACACTCAAATTGATGCTTATATATGAATTTAGGATTGATCTTCAGAATACCAAAATTAAGAAGCCAAATAAAAGGGTAATTTGCCATTTCAGCCTTGTTATCAACTGATTACTGGCATTTGCAGGACTGTTATGGAACCTGCATATCTTCTGGTAAGGTGGTACATAGTTACTGCTTCCACATTACTTCAAAACAAGACATCTTGCATATTTGCAGTTGTTTGCCATATAGACTTCTGGCAACATAGAAAATGCTCAAATGTATGCAAAAAACCCCTGCAGAGCTGTTGAACTGCAACTTTCTGATGGCTTTCCAATCTGTAATATACACCTCAAAGTTGTTTCTTCATGCAAAACAAATGATTGCTGGCATCTCCATTCCATGAAAAAGGGAAAACTATTTCCCATGTGGCTAAGCAGTGTGGTCTCAAATGAAATGGAAACATTTTAACTTTCTTTAATAGCCCTGTAAATCACAATGCAGCTGAGCAAACAGGCTTTGTAAATGGGATCTATTAGGATTTTATTTGGCTACTGGAGTGCTGCCTCTTGGGCAATATTTCAAATTCACAAGTTAATATTTGCAAAAATGGAATAGATGGAAATAACAAGAGTGAAGGAGGGAAATGGAAACCAGTTTTATGTTTAGTATGTTCAAGTGTCCTACACCAAAGACTACCAGTGACTTCCCGGAGCCACTACAAGTGACTCCAACCTAGAAAATGCTGAGGTAAATGTTTCTTGGAAATACTCCTAATCAAAAAGAGCAATTAATATTAATGTAATAGCAATTACTCTGCCATACATCATGGTAAACTAAACTCAAACTGAGAAGAAAGTGCCAAATAATCCACTTACATGCTTTTGCTATGATAGTCTCCAGGTAAGGCTTAGCGGCAAGTACAATATGTATTTTTAAAAGAGCTCCACCTGATTTTCCTGCTATGCATAGATTCAGGAGTAACTATCATACATGGCTTTCATATATAACACATGTATTTTTGTCATTTGCCAATGCTGTGTCATCAGAACTGAGTTCAGCAGAAGGCTCAGGAGGGGGCTCCGCAGGAAGTGCTGGTGTTTGAGGAGTGTCTTCTTCCTTGGTGTCCAACTGCATGCTTTCCTGTGACTGACCATCCATGCAGTCCTTTTTGGACAATGGGTGAACTGACACTTTTATTGCAATCTGTTGAGGTGCCTCATGCAGTGACGATGCGTCCGAGTCACCTGTGGGAGATTCACTGCGTGCCAAAGCATTTGGGATCATGTAAAGCTCGTCTGTTTCAGTGGTCTCCTGGCCTTCTGCCGCCTGCCGTACAAAATTCTGTCCTTGCTCCTCCAGACCGACAACCTCCATAATTTCTTCCATTATAGTCCTGCAGTTCATGATGAGAGGTGGCAAAGGTACGCTCCGAGCAAGCTCTTCAATATAGCGGGCAAACTCCATGGTCTTGAACTGGGTTACTTTGGCAAGCTCAAGCGTTTTGGCTGATGTGATAATTGGGATACGCTTTGCAATCTCAAAGGCCTTCTGAAGTTTCTCTGCCCCTTCTGTTCGGAAGAATTCATTGATTGCTTTCTCGGTTTTCTTCAGATGACTGCTCATCATACATAACCGAGTAATGTTCAGTATCATAACAATGGTAAAAGCGACAAGGCAGACAATCATGTAATAGATTCCCATATCTCCAGAGGTAAAAACAACCCTCAGCGTCACAGTATTGTTAATGCTGCCATACATGTTAGATGCCACACACGTGTATTTACCTCTGTCTTCAAATGACACGCGGGTAATGTTTAGTAGCCCGTTGTCAAGAAACCACCATTTTCCTGTTGGAGAGGAAACAGAGTAACTTAGAAGTATTTTGTCATATGATCAGCATAGTCTTAAATATCAGCTTTATCAAACTGGCTTCAGGTTTTGGAAGAAGGAAATTATGTTCACAGGAAGACAAGTAATTTACCTTCGTAAGGGCCTGCAATCTCAGCTGCGTTACTACTACTATCAAATCCCTGACATCAACTTTGGATAGTCAGAGCATGCCCTAAAAGTGTCTCAGAAAATGCTATCTCAATCTTGTGGTCAGTTAGGCTACAAAGATAGGACTACTCCAGAGAGCCTCCCAAACACAGGTCACACTTCCTCAAAGAAGTGAATTGAAGGAGTTGGATCCTTCAACAAGGATCAACGGGATTGTGAGGCAGAAAAACCTACTTAAACCCTCCTTGTTTTGTTTCCTGACAATGCATTTGCTTACAATTGGGTTATTTTTGGTGTTTTGTTACAGTATCTCATATAATTCTGTTAATGTAAACTTTAAAACCCCTAACATGTTAGACATCATACACTACACTGCCTACCCTCTGAGGTGTTGAGAAACTGATTTTGAAGTATAATTTTAAAGAGGTGGAAGTAGGATAGGAGGAGTAAAATAGATGGAAAGGAGAAGAGCCGTGACAGGGCATGCCTTGTTGTTGGTACACACCACAACAGAACTTCTTTTACCTTTAAAAGTAATTTCTATCAATGTAATAAAATTGATAACGTTGTCTGCTGCATGGAAATATACATTTCATCTACATGCACACTTAATATTCTTTGAACCTGGCACCGCAGAACAGTTTAGGTATGAAACTGCATTTGAAACAACCTGTTTCAAATAACTCATCGCTTCTGTCACTGCTAAAGTGATTCAAGATTAACCCAGTTACTCTATTTGCCACTTAATTAATTGGTAATGGATTAAGATTTTTAGTTCCTCAAAGATTTCTAGTTAAACATGGCTTACCCAAATTGTTTCACATTATCTCCAGTAGAAGCCTATGTATAAAGTATTCCCAAAAGATCCCTGCCTCCGTTCATGTCTTAATTACGTCTTTTTATCCTCTTAGAAGTTTTAACTTAAATGAAACAATATTTTTTTTTACCCTAGCATATTTCTTGAAAACAGCTGAATCATTTTGCCTGAAATTTAAAAATGAAGACTAAATAAAAGCTTGGTCTAAATCAGACCTTCACATAAAAAAAAAATACCCCAATCTGCTAAATTTAGGCAAATTCAGAGGAAAACTCCTTTACAGAGGAAATATTAGAATCTGTAACAGATGACACTTCTTCCTCCACCTCCAGTATAACAAAAAATACAGAGTATTCGCTGCTCAGTATTTCTTTGAATTTGAATGCTGGTCCTTTTTTGCAAAGTAGATTTCAATTAATTGTGAAATAACAAGATGCCTTGTGATGTATCCTGGCTCCAGCTGTTGTAAATGACATAATGGCATTGAACTCAGTGACTGGGTCTATGCCAGTGCATCCTGACAGACATATTGACCCACATAAGAAAACAATGATTCAAAAAGGTATCATTGCTGGGTTTTGATAACAATTCAGTGCCATGCTTAACACCACAAAGAAAGCTCTCAAGCTAGGAAACATTTCTTACAGAAAGACAGTCTCTTAAAGGAGGTATTGCACTGTTGAAATTCTAAGTTTAAGTGAAGTTGTCTTAATACTACATCTGTACTTTTTACTGATTTGTTCAAAGTTTTTGCTCATCTACCTAAATGTTTGGTTTAGCTACCTCTCTCAGCTGACTACACAAAGACATAAATTTAGATGCCTTACTAAAGGGGAAATTTTCTATTAGTGAACCTTAGCAAAACACTCCAGCACACTAATCACTGTATGTTGCCACAACCACACAAATCATGTTCAAAAGTCTGCTTAGTAGCTCAAGTAGTTCCTTTCTCTAGCTTAACTCAGAAAAGGATAACATGCTGCACTGTAAAACATAACCAGTTATGCAGTAAGCTCTTACAGATACACACTGCTCTTTCACATCAAGCTGGGTCGATTGTTACTCCTGTCACAGCAGAGTTCGCTGGCAGGTCAGCCATTAGTTAGGCACTCTGTCTTAACAACTAAGAGTTTATTTCATCATGCTGTGAACAAAGCAGTCACTATGGAAGGATTACATGAGAAAAACACCTTTTATATGCCCACACTCCCCTCAAACACTAGAAGCATAACTACAAGTATAACTAGGATTATCACCCAAACCTTCCATTTAAGGAAAATAAGCTTGTGTGTAATTATGGTCCCTGGCAAACGCCACTGAAGAGTCTTTACTAAAGCCAGGAAGGGTCAAATATGACCTGTCCTTCTGACTGCTGGCCTATATAAGTTTTGCAGTTGGTTATTCAGGGCATCTCCTGTTTCTCACACTACCATGGCACTGCACATAAAAGACAGCAGGCATACCAGGGAGTTAGCTGTGTTGAGTTCACACCAACAAACTATTCTAATATGTCATGAGAATCCTCCTTTGAGTTGGGAAACAGCTTTTTAATCTTTTTTTGATGCCAGAGAAGAACAAAGGAGGACAGAATGAGAAACAGAACAAACATGAAGTCTTCCAATGAAAAGAGGCCTGTCTGCAACTTCTGTTAATTGCTTCAGCTTCTTGCTATGCGTTGCTATAAATAACACATAAAAAGTTACTGTTTTCTTCCAAGGTGTGCATAAAAAATGTATAACTGCCACCAAGCTTTCATTTATTTTCACACAGGAAAATACCACAGCCAGGCCATTAAATCCAGGTTATTTGTCAACTTGCTGCAATCAGAAGTGTCTCTGGACAGGCTCCATCAGTGCTATTCCTAAGATCCTACCTTTATTCTCCTCCTCTTGGAGCAGGCGGCCATTGGAATTGTACCATCTGTAGCGTGGGCTGGGAGTGCCCTGGACATTGCAGTCGATCAAGGCACTGCTGCCCTCCCTGACGATGATGTGGTCGATGCGGGAGGTGACCAGCGGCGCGGCCCCGGCCCCGGGGTGTGTGTCGGTGCGGTTCAAAGTGCTGTTACTCACATCCTCTGCAGTGCTCAGAGCTGCTAATAAGATGACAAGGCGTGTGGTGGGCAGAAAGTACAGAGAGTGGCGGCTGTTCAGTATGTCCATTTTCCTTCAGTGGTGTACACGACTGGCTGGGAACTGATTCTCTTGAGTCCTTGAGGTGAGCAGGTCACAGGAGAGTTCTACTTTGCTCTGTGCAATTTTATGCTTAAAATATCCTATAAAATAAATAAGTACAGTGAGATGGCATATATAAACAGTCCATTAGATATGCTCTTTAAAAATAGTGACACATCCATTAATGCATTTCACAATCATCAGCACAGTGTCTTGTCTAAATGCTAATGTTATCACAGTCCTTATCCTTACTGGAAAAAGATGCATACATTTTCCTGACAATGGTGTTGTTCAGAGTGACAGGTGTAGGAGAAAGCTTTTATCACCTAGACACTTAGCAGCAGTTTAGCTACAGCAGCAGCTACAGTTTTATGCCAAAGTTCAACAGATTTTTTCCTTTTTTTTTTTTAACCATTTGCAAAATCAACAGGAAAAATTGAGGTGCAGCACATTAAAAGCGGTCACTACCAGTTTGGCGCTGCAACTCTTATCACATGCATGGTCTTAGAACTGTGAAACATGGTGTAAAAAAGAACAATTCCAGGAAGGGTTTTTGGATCTAGTGCTGGAATCTTTGATATACACAATTTTTCCCCAAACACAGCAGCACATACAGCAAAACATCTCAGACCATTCACTTTTCTTAAGCTACTGCTCTCTGAGCTAAAACATAGCATGGAAGATTATTCTTTAAAGAGGGTATTTAATGCTTGATCAAGTAATTTCAGTGTTATTATTTTTAGAGCAGATTCGTAAATAGGAGTACATGCTAGTAACATAATTATGGTTAATGTTCCTTTGAGATTCAAATGAAGTTAGAACTTTTCCATTCCTTATATGATATTAAGCACTTTGCCTGTGTACTTTTTGCACATTCTCCCTCAGTATTTTCCTTCAACTAATCACCCACAATGAGGCCTTTCTGAAGCAGTGATTTCAGTTTCTGGACAGAGGCGGGGGGGGGGGTTACAAAAGTGCTCTCTATTGGCCTCATTATGCTCCCAGTGAACACAATTGGCATTCAGTACTGACTGAAGGCACAGTGTTGGCCTCAAAATGAGCACCTTGGAAAATTTCACTTAAGAGTCTAAAGGCCACAAATCATGCTAAAATCACAGCGTATCCAACTATACTGGTTTTACTGATGTGTCTCTAAGGTAAATAACTGAAACTTAGTGAAATTTATTAGACAGAGGAATCTATCTGGAATCTGAATATAGGAAACTATCTAATGAACTTTCCCCAAATGAACAATTCCATTTCAAAAGAGTTTCTATTTTCTTAAATATACATTTGACTCATAGTAACTCATTTGCCTTAGCACACATAGTAACTGCTGACAATATCAGTTCCCTAGAGCAGTTCTATATATAAACAAAACACTAAAATAAAAAGAAACAAGTGAAAAAATCCCCATCCTTATTTTCTTTTGTATTCAAAAAGGAAAGAAAGCCACATTACCATCTTGCACTGGTAGTACTTGATTTAGGTCATTTTGTTATGCATCTTCTCTTCTTTGTAAAGCAATGAACTTGCTTTCATACAAATAGATACAGTGTTATTGAAAAAGCAAATGAATTCTTCTATTTTACAGGGTGAATCATTACTAGAAATGAAAACCTATGTTTGTTTCAATAAACTGCTGGCATGATGTAGAGGTCTGTCCCAGCTTCAAGTCTGTCCTTAGTTTTTTTCTGCTTTTATAATTATTGAATGTGGAAGTATTTCTCTTGAAGAGACAAAATAATTTTTAACTTTAAATTAATATGCAAATCTCATTTGTCATATAAAGCTATATAAACAATCACTTCAGAAATCTACTTCCAATTATGCAAAGCATGTAGAGTCTGTGCTTTTGAAGGTACACTCTGTCCGAGTCAGCAGTTTGGGAAAAAACCTTCAGTTCTGCCTGTTCACTTCAGTAACTATTTACATCTCATTTCTACTACTCCATTAACCTTGGAGACTGACATTCTTCATGATTACACATATTCAGTCTATAAAATATTTCTGTACAGTGTCACAGATCTGCATTGCGCCATACAGAAAAGCAAAAATTTTACTTCCTGGCAAAGGAGCAGGAACAGAGACTGGCTGGATTAGGACAATGGGAAGGAAAAAAGATAATATAAAGTGATTAAGCTGTGTGTTCCAATTGCTGTCTGGGCCTTGTTATTACTGTATTTGGGTCTATCATATATTTTTACAGCAGAAAAATCAGTAGCAATCAAAAAAGGTGTTTATTGCGGAGAGCAATTTGCATTCCAGAAGGAAATGAAATAGCATCTCCACAGTGGATGAACAGAAAATCTGTAAGGAAGGGACCAGCAGTGTATTAGGAAGCTGATCAAGGTAGCTGATGGCCCACTGATTCCACACAGCACAGGGATGTGGGCAGAGGTTTGGAAGGTGTGAGGGCAGTAAGGTGTTGCCTATTCCATACGTTTGCTTGTTTTGAATGCAGAGCATAGGGAAGCAGAAATGGTTCCTTTGTGTAGTGATGGCAAGTGTGACTGGCCCACAGCATGGCCAAATGGGTGATCCCTTGTCTGAAGGTAACAGTGACTCCCTCATTCTGGCCCAGAATTGAAACATAAATAGCTGCAGTAAATCTTAGGAAACAGAGATAAATAATTTAAATCTACTGTGTAAGATCCTTACTTACTCCTTCTTCTTACTCCTGAGAATGTACTCTCTCATGTATGTTCCTGGAATGCAGAATATTAAAAAAATACTAAATACCTTTGTAGATACATTTCTATTTGAAATAACTACAGTTTGGTGGCTAATATGAGAAATAATCAGGCAGTAGGTTTAAAGCAGAATGTTTGGAAATGAAGGCTGCTGCTTTCATATGCCATCCAGGGAAATGCCTGAGTATGTTTGAGGAGACAATATTTCCTTTGGTGTGCATCCTCTCCAATGTTATCAGGAAACAAAAAGAGATGGTAGAAAGCAAAGAAGGTTTTCTTAGCCCCAAATGACACAAAAAAGTTACAGGGTGCCAAGCTGGGACCTGAATGTCCAGGACCCTCTGCAAACCTGCTGAGCATGACCAAAAATGCTAGAGTCAGATTAGGAAAGCAGGAAGAAGCAAAGAGAGAACTGAAAGGGTAGAAAATGTGCTCACACCAGACACTGATGCAAAGGAAGATTTGCTGAGAGTTCCTGTCCTCCTGCTTTGCCATAGACGCAAGAGCAGCCAGAGTATATCAGGGAACACAGATCTGGGAGCCAGCTGCTTTGCTAAACGTAAATGATGTAACGAGTTCTGGTTTAATCACACAACTAAATGGGGAGAAGACTGAGACCAAAATAGGACTGCTAGTGATAGCTGGCAAAGCAGCAAGAGAATCCAGAGTATTGGAGAAGTGGGTACAGTGTCGCCCAGGATCTTGGCCACGAGAGGCAGCAATTAGCTGTGACCCATGATAAACCTGATGAAGGCAGCCAAAACTGTAACCTTTTGATCTGACCTAAGTCACAGAAAGCTGGATTGACTAAACTAAAACAAAGATTCCTGTAATAACTTCTTTAGACTGAGTAACACAGTATTCTAAAGAAGGAGGACATCTGCAATCCTGAGACTTGCTTTGTAGGAACAGATTGAGTCTCGGAGCACTTTTGCCATGAAAAGGTCACTAAAAACAAAGAGCTAATTTCATGGAAAAAATGTGATTACCAAAGCATATGAGCTACCACTTACAAAAAATAAAACATAACATAACATAACATAATTAATGTGGTTACAAATACTTTTATTCTTTTTTTTTTACTTTTAAATTTGTGGTGCATGAAATGGAAAAAGAACACCCCTGGCTATTTTGAGCTATTCAGGCTTTCCTCCAAGGATGGAATGAAAGGAATCCCCACAGTCTCCTCCAGCACCTATAACATGTATATAGGAAACTCTCCTGCTGTATTGTATTTGGAGCAACATTTACCACTCAACAATGCTTGTCAGTGATCAATATATTAAATTGTTCTGTTTTTCAATTCCCTAACTCAAATGGTATAAATTGAAAATACTAAAGTAACAGATTTACTGCTTGTGAGAGGAAAGACTTGAGCCAAATGAGAACACATGACAAGCTTTCCTTTTAAGTTACATGGCAGCCTGCTCTAGCATGCTCTCTATGCATCTCTATCCAGAGAAGTGCCCTGGAACGGGCTCCAGAAACAGCAGAGCTGCAGCACAATAGTTTTACTCCTAATTAATGTGAAAATGTGGACAAAAGCTGCAGTTACAACTTCTCTGTCCAAGATCAGGCATCAGTCTAAATGGAAGACACATCTAGGACTGACAGACACATCTAAGAACATTAATCAGAGACATGTTCTGACTGGCCGGTTATTTTTTCATGTCATAGATGTGCTTGCTTCCCATACTACTGCCACCAAAGAAAATGACTATGGGGTCATGGCTCTAAGTGCTGCATTTGTGCAGAACAACATGATGACAGAGCACAAAAGAATAGAAAAGGAGGGCAGTGATGCATACCTTTTCCTGGCTTGCTCACATCTGTAAGACTGGCCTGTTCTTATTCTTGGAATAATGTGTAATCCTATTAACTGTGAGGTCATTCAATTCACAAGTGAAGCACAAGAAGCCAGCTTACTGCATAATGCATAAATGGCGCTCCTATAGCTTTAACATCCCAATGCTGTCTTCCTTGGCTTGTAAGTGACCAAGACAATTAAATTATTTTCATTCTAGCTCTCCCTTATCTAAAAGAAGTATAAAGGCTGATGCTGCAAAACAAAATTAAGGCTAGTTTTTATTATTTAAAAACTACTTGCCACTTTTCCTAGTTTCCATAGGCTATGTCTTTTAAAGGGTGGGAAAAAGTAAAAGTTAACAAGTGTTAGTGAAACAGGAATGCAGATGAAGGAACTTATGCCACACAGGTGAGAAGCTCACTGCCAGTTCATAGGCTTATGAGTGAGAACCACCTACCGAAAAGGTCTAATTATTAGGATCCAGACATGCAGAGGAAAAGAAATGTCACTCATTTACAACTAGCAGAAAAATTTTGACTTATTTTTCTATTCATTTGTCAGTTGATAAAATATTAATGCTTGGCTCCAGAAGAGCTGCTTTTCATTCTCCTGGAGTGGGGGATGTCAGTCTTTTGTAGTTTCATGGCTTTCTGTTTCCCTGGCTATGTTGAATAGGTGATCTGCTGGTGGTGTTTGTAAGATGAAGAGTTCCTTCTGCACATCTAGATTCCCAGCTGGGCAGCAGCCCCCAGCTATATGCTTATTTAGTCTCTTCAGCTGCCTGGGAACTTTAGGAAACCTTTCAACAGGGCTGAGCCCTGGCCATGTCTGCTCAGTAACCTCATGTCACACTTGCTGCCTTCAGCCACCTCATGGGAGGGTACAGAGAACACAGACATGGGCTCCTCTGAGAGACGTGCCGTGAAAGGACACGAGACACAGGACACATGCTGCAACAACAGAAATTATGAATATGAAAAAATATATTTATGCAGGAGGTCAGTCAAGCCCTGCAATAGGTTGCCCAGATGGGTCATGGAATCCCCATCCTTTGAGAAGTTCAAAACTTGACTGAGCTGGTATACACTGGCCCTACTTTGAAAAGGCTGTTGAATCAGATGGCCCCCAGAGGCAGCCCCCCAACCTAAAGAAACTCAAATACTCCAGAAACATGAATACAAGAATTGCCTTGGGGAAAACAATGGGAAAAATATGTCTGATCTTAAAAATTGCTATATGGGATAATGGGAAATTGTCTTCATGAGCTCCTGTATAATTTTTTGAGTAGCAGCACTTTGGAATGATAAGACAGGCTGAGAGTGTTGACTACAGCCTGAAAAAAAAGGTATTTGGCCTTCTGCATTCTATTTACCTGATAAGAACAGTACCTCTCCTCTTTGCCATACAGAGAAGACTTATTTCTAGCCAAGGGAACTCTAAGCATCTTTGTTACCCTCCGCTGGACTTCCTTCACCCTGTCCACATCTTTCTTGTGCTGAGGACCCCAGACCTGGATGCAGTACTCCAGGTGGAGTCTCACAAAGATGGAGGAGAGAGGGACAGTCATCTCCCTCAAGGTGCTTGTCTCAATTTCTTGACACAGGATAAAATAAGGGTTGGGAATCTATGAAGATTCAAGAGAGACTGTATATAATTTACAAGTATAGATTCATAAATTATGACAGCCTATGATCAATGTGGGGACTTGACTTCTGTATATGCATTATGCTCCGAGTGTATGACCCTGGGCAGTGAATAGGAAGGGCTGTCAGTATGGCAACCTGGAGACCTTTTTTAGCACGCCTGTCTTAAAAAAATTATATCAAAGAAGCCTACAAATTAATTGTATATTTTGAAGGCATGGGTAGGTTCTTACAGACAAACATTTGTCAATCTGTTTTGTAACAACAAAAAAAAAAAAAAAAAAAGGAAAAATCAAGAGCTGTAGCTTATTCTGCCATTAATGGCAGAACCTGATCAAGACTTAGTCATTATCAGTTTTTGTCTTCTAAAATTATTTTGGTCTGAACACTCACAACACTGTAGGGGATAACAAAGGAAAGAAGCATCATAAAGATAGAATTGTCTTACTTTCAGGGTTCCATAGTGTAACAAGACACTGCAGCAAGACAGCAGCAAGCAATAAAGTGTAATTGAAAATTAATTTTATATCCAGACTTTCCATTTAGGGAAAGAAGCATAAGCCTTTCTATTCAGCAGCTGTAAAATGGAAGAGTTTTCATGTTGCCTTTATCTGTGTGTAAATGTTTTAGAATTTTTTTACTGTCAATTTCTCCTCTGTTTCTCTTTATCTACTTCATGTCTCTATTCTCTTTATCCTATTTCATGTCTCAATATTGCAAAACTAGCAAGCACATGGCATCCTAGAGCTTCACTTTAAATATTGGAATGGACCCATTGATTTAACCATGTCTTTGAATGGTCTGATGTGCACTCCCCTGATGTCCATGAACACTCAAGAGATGCTAATCCATTAACCTAAAGAAGAATGAAGGCTGTTGGTGTCGGGTAATTATTGGAGAGGTTATTTAAAAGTACCTTAAGAACGCCAAACCTCTGGAAAATCCCCTTTTGAAGCCACAGCTCCTGTAATTCTAGCATCTCTGCCATATCAAATCAGCTTTTCACAAAATACACTGAAGCAACAAAAGCACTCAGACAACTTGGATGGTTAACTTCTCATTAAAAAGTTGTAATTCAGATGTGCTCTCTTATATGCACTGAGAAATCTGAGTTTTCTTTCCATGTGGTATTGTAATGACTGCAGCAAAAGCAATGCTCTATATTTAGTGGAGAAGCTTGCTGTTTTTCATCAAGGCAGGTACTGTCATGAAAATGTTCTACTGAGTTGTAGGTTACCCAGATCATAAAACAAATTCAACACCATTGATAGTGGAGATTTTTCAAGGCTCACCTTACGTGTTATTAGAACATAAATGCTTTGAAGAATTTTATTCTTAGAAATAAAAACTTTGTTTATATAGATTATCTAGATTTCCTCTGTGTTTGTATTTATATAGAGGCTGTACAATTACATTTCAATATAGTTTTGTACACAAAGCTCTTATTCCAGAAACTGTATGGCTTTAAGAGTCCCTTGCTTAACTCCTGGCAAACTTGCAGCATTGCTGCTGGTTTGCTGTTGCAGTAAATGCAGATGCATCAATGCTTAGGAGTTCCCTCTGCTGAGAAAGGAAGAACAATGAAGCAGCACAGAGAATCCCTCCCACACTTCCATGTACATCTGAGCTCTGCCTGGCCTCACCAAGTTCTACATATCTTTCATGTTCTTTACACACCTTGTATCTTTTATTTATTCCTGCACTCTGTAAGCATTATTCTGCCAACAGTTTGAATAACCAAAGTCAGCAAATGCAACAGATCTCATATGCTCTTGGCAAGGCTTATGAGACTCTGCTAAGAACATAGCAATGCAGAATGTGGCCCAGCTCACTTCCTTCCACTTTCTCCTCTGAGTTCTGCTTGTCAAAGCTAACCATCCCTTAAGTACATCTAGTGGTTTTCTTTGTCCAAAGGAAGAAGGAAGACTCCAGATGTAGGACATTTAAATATAACACAAAACTCAAAACTAAGTTTTGCTTAAACAAAGATATGAAGGACCTTTCAGGCTAAAAATTCTGTTTAAACTTAAATTTTGACCAACTGAATGTTTTCAATGCACTGATATAGATTACATTATGCTATCTTAACAAAAGACTCCCACATTATTTGGAACATAAGAGAAAAAATAATAGGACAAAACAGATTTGAGTATGACTATTCTTCTCTATCTCTATAGAACTGTAAGATGGATATAATTTTTGATGGCTGGCTTTCATGTTTGATGGTTGCTGGGATACAGAGCAAAGAGGTTACACATAGATGCCATGATTAGGACTAATTAGGATTAGGACTGATTAGGATTAACCTTGTCAGAGGGGGAATTTAAAGGAATCTAAGTGCTCATAACTGATTGCAATTGAAAATGATTATTTCAGGTTAAAGGTGTCTGCTCCTCCTTCCTCCACAAGTAACAAAGGGGACAGAAGATGGATTCAAACAAGTTTGCCCTGCACCATGCAGCAGCTTAAGTCTTGCTTGTACCCAAACGTGACCAATTCAGCCCTCTCCAAGCATGACTGTATGTTGTCATGTGCATGCAATAATTTAGCTGAAGGCCCTCAAGAGTTGACTAAAGAACTTCTCTAATTTCAGACGTGTGTGCTGGTTATGTCTGTGCCACATTGAACAGTGTAACAGTAAAGGCACATCACTTTCTCAGCATCCAGTACTGTGTGTGTACCACACACACACACCTAGGACTGGGAACCACACACACACACACACACTGCAGTGCCCTGGCCCCTGCTTGACTTAAAAATATCAGCAAGAATCTTTTCTTGGCATAAAACTCTCAGTATGGCAGACACATGTCAATTAAATATTAGGTCTGGGCTAGGTAGGTTATTCTTAATGCAATAAGAAATTCCTCCACATATAGTGGCCCTTTTCCAAAACCAAGTTAGTTATACACATCTGTATAGAGGTTGTTATTTCTGATAAATGCTCTAAAATGCTGCTATGGATGATTTTAATCACAGTAACAGGTGAAAAGTGATAACCTCTCCATTGTCTTGGAAATGATGTTTCTACGGTGGATCTGTATATGGGCAGAAAATGACACGGTCAAATGCCAATTGTCAAAACTAAATAACAAAATTAAGGATACAGAGAGATATTTGCAAAAGCTCACAAGTTTGCATGAATGGATGGCAGCTCAGAATTGAAGGAATGAAAAATTTAAGAAAGTATCTAAGACCTTGGTCTTACACCAGTCTTCTGGTGACATATTATTACAATCCAGGACATCTCAAAGTAGGATCAGAGGCATTTGTGCCTGCAAAGACTTCTAGTAAAGGTGAAATTTGCTGGGAGAGAAAGAAGACCTTGCTAGCAGAGCTTGGTACGGGTTGTTTTAGCTGCTGGCAAACTCACTCTCCCTGTTGTAAATTGCATTCACATCTCACTGGTGCCTTACACCAGGCAAGAAGCATAAACTATAAAAGAAATGCCAGCTCCCCATTCCAAACTCTGTAGGCAAAAACTGGAATGGAGATTGGTTTTTTCCCCCATTTAAATCATTCCCCAGAAGCCCCTGCCATTGTGTCACAAATGTGACCCTTCGTTGGCTGGGTTTGGGTTTTATTCCCCTGGTTAAAGCAATGAATAAAGTGCTTTAGCCAGGTTCTGTGCCAACTCCATCCTCCTCCTCCAAATTCATGCAGGACCTGTCCAACTGCAGAAAGGCAAAGGGGACAGGACAGGGCAGGAGGGCAACTGGAGCTGTACAATATAGGTCACTTCAGAATTCACTACCATACTCTCACCATGTGTTAAATGTTTTAAGACTAACTGATTTTATCTCTAAATGTTATGAACCTTCAGGACAGGAAATATGCAGTGGACACAAAACATATTTTTTTTGTTTGTTGTGCTGTTTGTCCAGGCCTCTGAAAACTCCAATTTTTCAGAAGAAAAAAGAGTGTTCAATGTGCACTCCAGCTGTGTGAGCTGCACTCAGCATCAACTGATGTTGATATGCTGCAATCTGAATGAGACAGATTTCTAATAAAAAAGGATTTCTAGTACAGCAGCTACAAGGTTGCTGTATATCAATGGTGCTGTCGCTACTGTACACACTAAGCGAGACAAAGGATTCCTGCCATGCAAAACATCATCTCCACTGAAAAAAAATCTGCTGTAATTTGTCTTACTGCAGTGAAAAGAGGAACTCTTTTACAATATAATGTCTCTAAAGAATGAAAATGCTACATTTCTCCTCTCCTTAAATTCTTTGTGTTCCTCCTTTTGAAATAATTTTACAGTCCTTCAGACAAACGTATCGAATGAAGTTGCATTTAGGACTTTGCCACAGTTGGTATTTTTATTTCCCCAAGCGGGTTTATCAGGGTAGTTCCATTTGAGATGCTTCAATTTAACAAATGAAAGAGGGCTGTTAGGAAGTGTAGTCTCTTACAAGACTCTCCAGACAAATGCACTAGAAAAGTGCCTGCTCAGTAGTGCTCTGTGTTCTCTTAAGCTCCCTTGTCCAATACTGCTGGAATTGGCCCTGTTAAGAAACAGGATTCAAAAGATTGTTTCAAGACCACTCTGTACAAGAACTCTGAAGTGTTAGATTCTAGTTCTCTTAGTTCACATATGAAATTGAGTATCTTATGAGGCTAGCCTGTGAAGTAAAAGGGTAATTGAAGTAAAATATCAGGAGGCATTCTTTATTTTAAATTTAAGGCGGCACAACTTCACCTCTTTTTGAAGTCAGGTTCATCGAAGAGGTCTCTGCACTGGGGTGTCACCTCCCATTCCCCTTCATTCCCCTTCTCAAGGCGGGACAGCAGCGAGCATCCTGCGTGCAGGAGCTGGAAGGCTCCAGTAAAGCCTCGGGCTCGTTAGCTTTTTTTGGTTTGTTTGTTTTTTTTTTTTTTTTTTTTTGCCTAACGAAACCCACCTTCCTTCAAGACTCGGTGCTGATTTGAAATAATCTCCTGAACTTTCATGCTGAACACAGCATTAGTGCGCTCCCGTTGCGCGGGGAGATTCCGCGCTCCACGCCGGGCTGGCCGCGAGCGAGCGACAGCCGCTCCGGGAGAGGCGCCGTGCCCGCCTGGCCGAGCTGCAGCGCTCCCCCGGCACGGCCACCGGACCCTGCTCCGGCCCTCCAGGCTCCCCCGGGCCGCCGGCGGGACAGCGCGCCCGGGGCTCACCGCAGAGTTCCGCAGCCACCGCGGCAGCGGGGCCGGCTCACAGGTCAGCGGCAGCCGCGGCAGGTGCCGGCAGCGGAGCGATGGTGGAGGCGGCGGCGAGCAGCGCCCCTCCGGGACCGCCGCCCGCTCGCCCGCCCGGCGGGGAACCGCGGCCCGCGCCCCCCGCGCCGCTCACCTGCCCGCCCGCGGCTCCCGCTCGCTCGCTCGCTGCCGCTGCCGGTGTCGCTGCGCTGCCGCCTCTGCTGCCGCCGCCCCGCGGCAGCGCCCGCCGCCGCCGCGCCCCTCAGCGCGCCCCGCGCAGCACCATGCCGGGGCCGGGCCCGCGGCCGCGGCCGGGGCCGGGGCGGGCGGAGCGTGGCGCTGCCGCAGTGCCGCGCCGTGCCCGTGCCGTACCGTGCCGTACCCGTGCCGTGCCGTGCGCTCCCGCCGCTGCCGGCTCCGGCGGGGAAAGTAGGTCAGGGCGGCACTGAGCATGCTCGGAGCCGGGCCGGGGGGCGGCCCCGGGGCCCGCGGGGGGCGCGGGGGGCGGCAGAACCCCCGGCCGCGGGGTTGACACGGGGCCAGGGACGTGCGGCGGCCGCGGGCGAGGCGGGGAGGCCTGAAGCGAGCGGCGGCGGCGGGGCCGCTGTGGGGGATGCGAGCCCCCTGTGCCCGAGCGGAGCCGGCAGTCCGGAGCAGCCCCCGCCGGTCACCGCATCCCTTCTCAGAGACACTTGCAGGAGCAAGTGCTGCAGGAAAGGATAACACCCCAGCACGCCTAGATAATCTTTAGAACCGAAGTGCTGCGCTTCGGAGAAATGGCACACGTGCTTTCCCCCAAGGGCTTTATTCCTAACGGGATTGCAGCACCCAGCTCCAGTTTAAACTCAGTCTGAGGTGGTCCCAGCCTGTGGGAAGCTGACACTGACTGTACATGTCTAAGTGCTCCGTCAGCAGAGGGTAAAGCTGTCATTTTGCTTGAGCAAAAGTGCTTGAATTTGGTTGGTGCTCTCTGTGCAAGCTGTGCGGCTGCCGAACCAGGGATTAGGATGTAGGTGGCCAGCTGCAGGCAGGAATCTGGCAGGGATCTGGTGTGAGCCGATGCTGTCCTGAGCCGCTGTCCTGTGCCACTCTCCCGTGTTTCCTCCCTGACCTTGTGGCATCAGAAGAGTAGGACGCAGAGTGACCTTCAGCTGAGTGGCAAGACCAGTGGGTTAAACCATGGAGGTCTGTGTTTCCAGATGTTTGGAGTACTTTTGTAGTCAGGCTTGGACCTTGATCTTACTATCCTCTTCTGATTGCTTCCAGGGAGCAGTAGCTGAAGCTCCCCTGCTCATGGAGGAGTAGTCAGATGAGAGAGCATTTGCTGAAACTGGACTACATTTCATTGCAGGGGGAGGTGTATGTGAAGTACACTGTGGTATACATCAAAACAGGTCTCTAGTCTGCCCAGAGGAAACTGAAGAGGAATAGCAGCAAAGGATTTAGAAATAGGGAGGCAGACTCACTCCAGGGAGCTGGGCTGGTTGTGTCAAGGGCCTGGGCTTCGGGTCCCATCACCTTGCATGTAGGAAGTGCGGGGGTTGAACATGGATGCATCCAGTACTTGGGAGTGGTGCAGGTGCTGGTGAGATCAGGCTGTTGACAGCCAGGGCTTCTTGTGTTCAGTGTCTCCTGAATGGAGAAAACTGGGGGGAAGATGCATTTGGCGCTGTCAAACTTGGCAGCTGAGGGAATCAGCCAAGGAGTGTGCTTCTTACTAATTCTTCCAGCAAAGCATTCCTTGGGAGGAGCTGTTTAAGTCATGGGTTCTTGGTGGGCACGGACTCGCGATTTGTTCTAGCTTGACCACACTAATTATGAACTTGGTTTTCCTTCTTCCTATCTTGAAGTACTGGGTTTGAACACAATTGAGTAGAATTTATTTATCAATTAATGCTGGAGCTAATCAGATAGTTGTGTGCCCAGTCTTAGAAATTCCTTTAAGTCAGGTAACACTCTGGATCTGGCCCCTGTCTGGATCTACTCTGCCTGTCAGATCTATGTGTGATACAAGGCTGAATTTTTATATTTGGAAAAGTCAAACATCTTTCCTTCTGGAAGGGTCTATCCTTTCAGGCTCCTCAGGTTTCAGTGAACATAAGCCTGTTCAGTGGCTGGAGCCAGCCACCACATTACTTGCTCCATGCCCTTTCCTGGGAGATCACTATCACCTGCCAGGTGAGCATGTGGACTTAGTGAGGCATTTTTCCATCCCACCTTCCAACAGTGCTTCCACCAGCTGCATGCAGAGGACTGGCCCACTGATTTGAGCAGGAGCTATAAAAGGTCTTCTGGATATGTACCCTAGCTTTGGTTAAGCTATAAAAAGCTCGCTATTTTACCTAGGTATAATCATTATATAATATTATTCTAGATACATGAAATGCATTAATTTAAAATTTGGCAATGTTTTTTGTTTGTTTTTTTTTTTTTATAATACCTGCTGTAGGTAAACTCTGACATTTCATACTTAGTTCTACAGTGACCAGATTCTATTCCTATAAAACTATAACATCATTTGATTAAAGGAAGCCTTTTACCTTAGAGCAAACAGAACTTTGGTATTGCTAATAGTTTTATCTAAACAGCTTAATCAGGGAAGCCTTGTAATCATGCAGTTAAAAAATCTAAGATAAGATTAAATTGTACATTTTGTGTGTTTATAGTCCCTCCATCCCCTAGGCAGAGTGGCATACTGGAATGGCTGAGACAAGCTTGTGTGCCACACAATGAAAGGTAGCAGCAGAGAAACTAAAGAAAAAGGAAGTTTTAAAATAGTAGTCAGCAAATCAGCTGTATTAATATGCCAGTCAACATAAATACATGAGTGGATATTCCATTTAGAAATTAGCTTGCCATATTTCTCATAAAGTAAAAAAGAAATTTTGATTATGAGAAATATCTGGTTTCAGTATGGTGATGCTACTCTTTTGCTTCTTTTTAAAAAATTCTAGCCCCAAGTATGATTAGATCTTACATTAATACTGATGAGAAAAAAATAACTTTATTTATTAGGATACATATCTTCAGCATGCTTGTTTACCTCATTTAAATTGTTTTCTGAAATACTAACAGTGTTTTAGTTTTGGTTATATCTGTTACCCAAGATTGTTACTTTATCACTATAAACTGTAATCACATTATTCCCATGTGAAAGACTGAAATTCCAAGCTAGATCAGCACTGCGTTGTTTGTTGAGTACCATCCCATTTTTTGGGAAAGATGTGGACAACTGAAAGGCTTACAAGAGATCTTGGGATGGAGATGGAGAAATCATGTGGTCCTGGGAGCTCCTGGCCTGCACCAAACATGCCAGCGTGGTGTGGGAGGAGGTGTCACAGGAGGGGATAGGTATTCCTGCCTTGAATGAGACAGCTTGGGTGTTAGTTCAAAGCACTTGATTTATTAATTTGTTTTAACCAGCATACATTCTTGCAAAAAGGGCACCCTTTTTTGGTAACTAGCTTTCAGAAATACCTTAGTCTGATGTGTCCCAGGGCACTGTGGCTTGTGTTTTGTTCTTGTTTCTCCTCCCTACCTTTTGAAACAACTCACAATAAATTAAAAAATATTAGGCATGAAGCTCATGAACTTTTGGTGGTTTTTATGTGTACCTCATAATAACATGTAGTGCTAACTATTTCTCTTCTGCATTTCTGGATTTGTCATTTTCCTGGGGCGGTTCCTTTTTTTTATCCTCTACAAGTGGACTGGAACGACCAATTACATTTTATTCCTCCTTATGCTTTATTTTTTTAGGACATGGGGTTACAAAAGTAACTTGTTTTATACCTTTACTGTGACTCCCTCCTTTGCTCCTCCCAGAGGAGGAAAAATTCTCAGCTTGTTTGAAGATTACATTTTCTGCTGTGATCCACTTTTGTCACTCATTTCTGGAGGAAGTTCTTTCCTGAAATGTGTCATAGACAGTCTGTAAATGAAACAAACCCACTGATTATGTGCCACTATATGTTACCTTATGTAAATGCATACATGATTCTTCTTGAAATTAACAGCTAATTGTGATTGAATTCCTTTTTGAGTTTCTCCTTCTGAGGCTTTGCAGTATATTCACTTGATGGAAAGGTCTCTCTCCCTGTTGTACAGGATGTGTGTGAACCATTTCTGCATGCACTTGTAGCTGTGTTCAGTGTTGTTGCTCAGGCCCTTCAGTGATGTGTGCTGCAGAAAGACTAGCTGTGCTGATGTGCTAAGGCAAGGGCAGATATGTCTGCATAAATTATTGGCAGCTGAGGAAAGGGTGAAATCCACACCTCTTGTGATCTGAAGGGAAAATTCCACAGTGATGTTACAGAAAACTGGATTCAGAGAGTTTGGCACCACTATTAAAAAGCTACCAAATTTTTAGGACGTGAAGAAATAAAAGAAGGTCTGGTGAGAACCACTCTATCCCCATCCCTCCCCCCAGCACAAAACTTTCCATGTATAAGCTGAGGTTAACAGATAAAGATAAAAGAGTTTTGGTTCCTTTCTTTTTCTGCATCCACTTCCCTGCCTCATGATTTCCTGTACATTTCCTTCTAGCTACTGAAAAGTAGAGACAGAGTATTGCTTCAGAGAGCACTGCTGAGATGAAGCTCAAGGCTGGAAATGAAGCCACTGAGCCAGACATAGAAGAATTTCAGTTCCCTGTCAAACCTGAGAGAGCTTTTGTCTTTAGACAGATATATTGGTTGACAAATGAATTAGTGGGGATGCTGGATGAGCCAAAGGCCTAAGAATTGTTACCTTAATAATGTCAGATGCATCAGACTCTTTAATTCTTTTCTTACCAAATAATCTTATTTAATTCAACTTTGTGTTGTATGAAACAAAGATCATTTCTCTAATCCCCTTTGCTGACCTCGCCTGGCCCATGGCTTTCCAGCTGAATAAACAGAGATAGGGAAATAAAAAACAAATCTTCACCACTAATTAGGTCTTGAAACATCAGTGTTTACCATTCACTGCATGAACTGACTATCAGGCATTGCACCACCATGAAAACAATCTACAACTGCATATCATGAGTGTAAAATAATACAGGGCACAGGGTACATTTCTGAATTGCAGCTGAATGAAAAGATACTGGGCATGTTGCATGACCTTCAGCAAGATTCTCTGTTTGTGTCCGTGAGAAAGATGAGCCAAATTATTCATGAGGCTGAAAAGGGGAGAAAGGACATGTGA